AAATATTCTCTGAACTGCAAAACCAAAGATTAGCCCAGTAGTTCCTGAGCCAACCATAAAAGCGTAAAATATCACCATCCTTGCAAGCCAGTGATCTGCTTCCTCCTGCTATGCCCACTACTTTTCTTTGCATACCAGTCTCCTATCTCAGGTTGCATGATGCTCAACTTTCCTTTTATCTCCTCCCTTCCTTCCAAGCCTCCAGCTTCCTGCTTCTCAGGCAAGCTTTCAGCTGACCTTGAGCTTCTCACACTCTAGGGAGAAATCTGGTGGTGTATTGTCAGAGTGGAGAAGCCATCAGAATATCCCCTGGTGAGCTGGCATGTTCCTTGCAATATTGTTATGAAACAACTATGCCATTTTTACTAAAACTCCCTGCAGAATCTTCCTAAAAAAACAGTGTTAATCAGCCTCTGTCTAGTACCTTAATTATTCCCTGATAATCAGTTGTGTTTTAGAGGAGCATTATAGATTTACAGAAAAGCAAAATTTCATCTTAAATCTTTTTCACCTATTTTCATCTGGCTCTTGCAGATAGCTTCATTGACTTGGATTCTGGTCCAAGATCAATCCTAATGACTTCTGTACAATTCATTTTACCTCAGAAGTCCAGGGTGATACAACTGCTTACTGAAGGAGCCTTGTTTTAGAATTTTTGGGGCATTTTTATTCTACCTTCTAACACATCCCTCTGCTTTTCAAGGTAGCACCACTTACAAAAACCTCTGTAAATACTAGCTGGCATTGGAAACCATGACAGATCCTTAACTATTTCAGCATGAATAGTGAGACCATAATTGTGATCATGGAATACTGGAAACTGAAAATAATACAAATAGTTCAAGCAGTTAAACTGAAATGTAAGCCAGTATCTTTTAAAATGGCAATAGCATTTTTCTTTGTTTTGCTACCATTAACTGTTGTTTCAAGCTGATTTTATGTCCGCATTGTACACTGAATAAGCTACTACAAAAGATATCATTGTTTGAGATTAAAAAATACTATAAAATACTTAAGGCTTTATTGTTCCTTTAGGTTGCTGTTCTAAGGTGAAGTATTTTCCCAAGCCTTCAACAAACGTTCACAGTTTAGAACTAAATGTGCTTTCTACTTTTACTGGTACTGTCAGAGAAATGTGCCTACCAGACCTGGAACTCTTTTTTTTTTTTTTTTTTCCTTTGGGCGCAGTTGTTTCTGTGGCGTTACTTTCATTGGTAAAGGTACAAGCTGGTATAATAGGAAATCACGGGGTGCTCTCGCTATTGCTGAGGTGTGGAGCGATGGAGCGAGAACAGGTCGGGCACCACAGTTTGCAGACTGTGACATTTTAAATTACCTGTACACTACTAGAAGCAGTCTATGGACCTAATTAACATCCCACCTAATTAATGTCAGGGCTGTATATGGAGAACTCTTGACAGATTTACACTGCATTTATTTATTAAGTACCACATTATTCAAATTTGCTATCTTTAATTTCTGTATTGAAAACTTCAGATTTGTGTGCTGTTTTCTTAAGTGGGAGTAACTCTTCTTTTTTTTTTCTTCCCCTCCTTCAAGTAATCAATGCACTGCTGAATGAGTTCATTTTAATGCACTCAATCATGCCTCTAATGTTTGTAGCTTACGGGCGCAAGCATCAGTAATGCAGGAATGTTATATGGCTTTAGTTTGGGCCATTTCATAAAATATTCATGGAATCAAAAATGTGCATCAAAATAGCGGCTGGGAGAATTACATTTATGTGCCTGCTTTTATGGCAGCTTCACATTTAAACCCATTTGTGTTAATATCTAGTCAATCTTTCTACTTAAAAAAAAAGAAAAAAGAAAAAGAGGCAAATAGTAGTCGCCATGTATACCCTTTCTACTTGAGATTTGTCCATGGTATGTATTGTGATACAAAAATGTATACTTCTGGAGTGTGTTTTAATCGAGGAAAATTATAATGGAAGTCATAGACAATAGGAAAATGTTTCGCTCCAAATTTACAAAATTACATGTAGTTCTTTTGCTTGAATGAATAGATCTCACTTTTGTGACGTTAAGCAACACTAATTCAGTTCAGTGAAAACGATAGCACAAATCTTGTGCACCCACATATGCAGTGGCTATGAAAATAAGAGTAACTCCTAAAATTTATTGTTGTTAGTGGCCAAGTATATTCACATAATTGTTTAAAGGCAATTCCAATTGTGGATAGGGTTTCTTTTGTTATACCCTGAGTGCCATTAAACTAACATTTTAGTAGTGGTACTATATGTGTTGTTAGAATTACATTTCTATTTTTGATTCTATATATAATAAAGAGTTATTAGAGATTCTGAAACTCTTAGATTAGGATATTTTAGCCTAACTGAAAATAGCTGTATTCCTTGTGTAGTATTTTTCCAAATATTTTTTTTCAAATATAGACTTCCTAGAACACCTTCTAGATTTCCTCCTGAAATTCTTGAAGTGGTGTAAAAGATGCCCTCCTGCAAACTAAGGGATTCTTCTACTCAATGTTCTTTTTTTTTTGCATTTTCTTTTTTTTTCTTTTTATCTTTCAGTTGTTAATAAAAACTGTTAAAAACGCTACCTTGCCCTGTTCAAATTACATAAAAATATTCTTATTCTAACGTGTGCTCTATTTGGTTTACACTTTCCCTCGATGCTTTTCAAGGTAGCACCACCTATCTCTCTCTCTCTCTAGCTCAATATTTAAAAATTAAAATGCACTGGCCAAAGCAATTCCAGCTGAGCCAACTCATCGCCATGAATAAACTCTCCATCCCCCTGAAGACATTATTTTCCCAGCAGCATTTGAGTTTCATATAAACATTATGGGTTAAGGAAATAGGTTGATATATCAGATGCCAATGAGGATGAGGAATTTCAGCTTATTTTGGTGGAGTAATGAATTCCAAAGTCTAAAATGTTTTATCTTTCATGAGTTTGAGAGGTCTGCTGATTGCAAATTGTTAGTATAACTTGAAGGAGTCTTCAGTAAGCAGATTTACAGTCATATAAGGGCTTACGGGTCAGGAATTCCATCTCTCCCTTGTTTAACTAATAGCTATTATTAAAATTACTTTTTGTTTTCTTGCTCAGCATGTTCTCCTTTGTTTTTCTGTGTTCAGATTGTCAGATTATATTGTTTTTCACTGTGCTATCTTTATTTCTTTGTAGTGCAATGGTCAAACCTGTTTCAATTTAGTTCCATTTCAATACTACCAAAAAGAATAACTGGTTTTGTACTTTGAAGCTCGATGCAGATGGATTGTTCTCTAAAGAGGTTTCACAGAGATCTGGCAAAAAGGATGTCAGGTCAAGGCTCTTATGGTTAGGTCAACTCTTAAGAACTATGGGGTACATGGAATATATGAGTTCAATTTCCAGCCTGACAGAAACTTTCTCAGGGGGATACTGCAAGTGAGGGAGCATGAGTAAGAATTATCATATCAGATAGGTCTACCCATCTAAACAGGAGTTCCCAGGCATGTGCATGCTCTTTACAGGGATGTTCTGCCCCTCTAAGAGATTGTATTTCAAAGCCATGGATAGAAATAGATACTGTATTTAGTTTTAAATTACTTATCCAAGTGGTACCATTCACTTATTGCTTTCTGTTTTACTAGAAGTTTTTGAGTTACTCATGAATCAAAGTACACATCCAGCATCCAGCTCTTGTGTTCTGAAGAGTTCATTACACTTCTAGCGAAGCTGCATCACATAAATGCATGACTGTATTTGGGGCGAATTCCAAGAGGGAAACTGTCTGTGCTGGAGTGGATAAAATGCTAGTTATTAGTGTTAAACTTGAGCTCAGCTTTGCATCCTTTGTCACAAAATCAACACTAGCTTCCTCACTGATATCTAAAATCTGTTTAGCAACTTGTTTAAATGAAATTATCTTGACTTTTGAGTCAATAAGCAGTTAATGGACAGGCAGAAATCTTTAGACTGGAAAAGAGTTTTGGATGCCAGTTAGCAAGTCTGCTTCTCTGTCTTATTTCTGGTTAAATTAATTCCCAGTGGATCATTAAACTGCTTGTACTCTGGTTCAGCTCTCTTATGTCAAGAACGTGATATTTGGGAAAGACCTTAGAGATGCAGTCCTGTCTGTTTACAGGATCTGGTAGCTACTGTCACAGAAAGAATTTTTTTCCAGCCCTTTGAGCTGTCTTTCAATGATGATCCATATGACAGATTCCTCTGCCACCTAGACAAAAACAGAAGTGGTGTCACTTTTGCAATTCTCCTATAGTGTGTTTAACATCATCTGGAACAGGGTGTGTGTGTTTGTATCAATGTAAATGGTCTTAAATTCCCTGTTTCCGTTCAGTTATCCCATACCCATTATGCGTGAGGAAAACCTTCTCTGTTCTTTCAAGTTGGCTTTGAATTTCCACAGTCCAGATGGACAGCCTGCCATTCACCTCTTCTGCATATATAGAAAGATAAATTTCACTGTGGGTGAGAGAGGAAAGTAAGGATCTTCTTGCGTGTTCAAGGGAATTAAACTTTATTTTCAAACTTTATTTTGCCTCAGAGGTGTTTGCAATTGGGCTGCAAAGCTACTTACTGCATTAGTAGTTCATGCTCTTCTAGTATATTTACTATATGAATTCACCAGAGTTTGCCTAGCAGTAGTTGTTCAATAAATTCCTTTATGTATAACTTTATTTCAATAAAGGGTTTTTTTTGCAGTTTTGGTATCTCTGTTCTCTGCATCTCTCAGCACAGTGTGAACTACAAAAGAAAGCTGATTTCAAAACCTTCTTATGCTTAAAGCTAATTGATTTGTACTTTTTGTCATGAGTTTGAAGTAGGATATTAGTGATAGCTGTAAAATTTGACATTATTTTCCTGTGATCTCTAAGTTATTTATTGAAGGTTCTTGAAAAATTTGTGAAATGATTAGAATACAACGTACTTTAATGAGAAAATGATTATACACTAATAGCTTTTTAAAGGTTTTGTGGATTCCTAGTTGTAATTACGAATGTCACTTTTCAGGTGATATCATGAAAGCTGCTGAACACTATGAAGCATTTTATGAGCTAACATTGGGCTCAACATGGAAAGATGAGACAGGCCGTACTTACAATTCGCTGGCGTGTGAACATCTCTGGAAAACTTATACAGTACTAGCAGACAAAATGCTAGAAGATAAACAACACCAACAGGTCATCAAAACGCTAAAAAAAGCTTTTAAAATGGCAAAAGAAGGTAGGCTGAAAATAACAGTTTAACATACCTTTATTTGATGTACATGCCATGACTTTCCCAGGGGTAAAGCAAAAATTGTCAAGTGATTATTTTCTATGAAATTCAAAGACAAATGCTACCGATGCACTTCTGACTCTGACTAAAACACGAATGTCTTCTTGCTGACAACAAAGATTTTCTCAAAACAGAAAAACAAACAAAACCCCACAGTCTTGTGCAAGTAATATGAAATAGTGAACCCATAGCAGGAAAGTGTGATCACTGGTGGAATTTGAAATTTTCATTGGCTAGTTGTTTAATAATTGTGAAAACAAAACAATTTTGTATTGTTAAAAAATTCTCGGTACTGTATTGCTTGGGAGTATTGTGTTAATTTTAACAGAACATACATCATTTTCAATATTTTTGAGATAACTTAGTGCTGCTTATTTGTCAGAAGATGCTGTTAGGTGTCTGCTTCTACCAATTTACTTTTCCTAGTAAAATGATAATTGGAGCTTTTTGGAGAAGTAGCATAGAAGATCTTGAATAATCATCTTCTCCTAGATCAAGGATTCAAGATCCTTTCATAATATTCCTAAAGGGGAATATTTGACATAGAAATTGCAAATACAATTACTATATAATATTAATTTAATAATGGATACATTAATTTATGAAATTTAATGATGTATGCCCAATGTTAATCAATTAGCCAGTTTTCAAGTGGTAAGTGGGATAGATTTGAACTATCAAAAATTTGAAAATATTTTATTTTTAAAATGAAATTTAACACAAATATATGGTTGTACAAATAGAGAGTATAGCAGAGCAGTATATATAACCGTGTAAAATGTGTAATCCCAGGCAAGTTCTTACAAAAAAAAAAAAAAAAACTCTATTAGACCAGCAGATACTATTGGAAAAATAAGCTCTTGGACATCCAAGCTTATGTTAACTTTGTCATTTATTACTTGAAATAATGTCAAGTAATACTTGAATTACTTGAAATAGTAAAATAGTGAAATTTTATGTTTCAGGTTCTGATTATATTGTATCTTCGATTATGCTTATTTTAAAAAATGAACATTATTCACGTTGCCTTACTCCATGAAGGATTAGGTTTTTAAAGATGATTCAAAGATTAAATGCCATGATTTAAAGTCTAAATACCTTTATATGGTGATTTTAAGGAGCAAAACAAACAATGCTTTGGGGGAAAGGTTTTGGTTCTTTCCATACTAAATGATTCATTTTAGAGTTTGTCTGGTTGAGTGGCTAATTCTTTTAATTTAACCACTAAATAACCTATTACAGTGCTATCCACAATTTATGCAATTAGATCTATTTTGAGTGTTACCTGTTTAGAACTTTTCTCCTAGGAGTATGTATCTGAATACCCAGAAGGCCAATACAGTTAATTATCTGAAGAAGGACATGTGTACCCCAAAGCTTCTCCATTTCTCCTGCTGTATCTGTTGATCAAATACAAGTTATTCTAGCTATTCCAACAACTGCTGTCTATCTTGCTTAAATCATGGATACAGTAAAACTACTGCTATTAGACTTTACATACCTAGAAGAATTGTGAGCATGTACCACCCATAGAATCCTTATAGTTGGAAAAGACCTTCAAGATCCTTGAGTCCAACCATAAACCCATCACCACCCTGCCTGCTAAACCATGTCCCTAAGTGCCTCATCTCCATGTTTCTTAACACTGCCAGGGACCGGGACTCCACCTTTTCCTGGTGGAGCCTGTTCCAACACTTCACCACTCTT